AAAAAAAAAAAAAAAAAAAAAAAAACAATTGGTAAGACTTGATGCGTTCAGTGACGGCTAATTAAACTATGCTTTCCGTACAACAAAGAAAAAAGAACGATGCAGACAAAATAATCTGAAACCGAATCTAAAGACCTTGAAGAAGTTCAATACAACAGTTCCATTTCTCAAGCAAAATAATTGTAGAATCAACATTTTCTATAAATTGTTTCAGACAAGAAACAGATTTCATTTGATAGAACGAGGGGAAAAAAGAGGGGGAGAAAATTATTTCCACCCAGGCACCAGTAAGGAACTTCAGAAGAACTTATTCGGCATTAATTAAAAATTAAAAAAAGAAGGGCAATTGTCTCCATGTAAAAAAATCTGTGTTACGTGACACCTTTTTGCTAAAAAAAAATATCAATTTAACTTCTCAAGATTAGTTAACTTTCATATACCATTTAACTCAACAACAAAATTATAATTATGAGAAACCATATGATAAACTATATATTCAAGAAGCTTAGAGAAAATCAGATCCTGTGTACCTGAGCTTTTAACTTATCAACCTCCTGGCTAAGACCATCATTTGTCCTTTTAGCATCATCTACTACAATCTTTGGTGAGGTAAGACCTCCAAGAGTTGGGGTTGGTGTTGTTGAACGAGGTGGACTTGCTCGCCTTGATATAGGGGATGTTGCTCTTGAGACAATTCTAGAACCAGGAACTGAAGCAGAAAAGAACTTTTTGGATGACCCAAACACTGGATTAAAGGATTTAGAAAGAGCTCCCCACTGGGATCCTCCATTTGGAACTGGGGACACTCTGCTACTAATACTTTCAAATGTTTTGTTTTTCTTGGAAGTTTGGCTTTCTCCTTGCTTCCCAGATTCCATGGAAGAAAACCGAGCAAGTTGAGCACGAGACTTGACAGACTCCAGTTTCTCATCTTTCTCAACAAATTCAGTGGATCCTTGATTGATGCTTCTTCTTCGGCTCACTGAAGACTGAGAAGAAGCATCAGTTTCAAATGCTTTCCGTAGTTTGTTATAACAGTTATCACATACACGATAGGGTTTGTTAGGATTTGGGGCCATAGACGCCTTGTGACATTTCTTACTGCTGCAAGAATGACAGAAAACAAGTCCACAGTTATAACAGTTATGCCGCTTCCTTTTGAAGTTAAATGGTAAGTGGCAGCCAGAACACATAGACTGATCAACACCAGAAACCCATTTATGAAGGCAGATAGCCGCAGTAAAATTTGTTCCACAGGCAA